CTTGCTGAAAAGTTTTGTTTCACATTAAACCAGAAAATTCCAAAAACATTTTTTATTTCAAAATCTATTTTATTTTTACTTCATTTAAGCTCTTCACAGACAAGTACTGATTGCTGTCATGTATATACACTTTTAATTTTCCTTATTGGGCTTTTTCACCTGGTTCAGTAGACTAGACTGATTATCAACACATGCTTTCAAACCATGCCTTGCTGTGAATTTCAGGTAAATTCAGTAGTGTATATCCTGTTGTTCTGCTTAATAACATTGTTTCATTTTCACCATTAACAAACCTTTGTATTATGACTGACATGTGAAACCTTTTCCATTATCCTTTTCTTTATGAGCTGCCTTGTCAGTTCAGGTTATTCCTAATTTGGTCTGATTTCATTCCATTTCCTTCCAGGCAGAATTTACTCTGACTTCTAGGTGCTGCTGTCACTCAGTTAATATAATGCGTTTTCTTCATTATAGCTTTTTGCAGTTAGTTTTACATTTAGTATTTTAGGGACTTCACCTAATAGTGTTTGAGTTCACTTCACTTTGGTTTGCGTTTGCTAGACGTCCAAGTTAAGATCTTTCATATTTTAGTTTTAGTGAGCGAGTTCTGTGATTCTTAATCTGAAGGACACCTTACCTTAAAAATAATAGTAATATGAGACTTGTATCCTCTGGTCACGTCCTTTAGTTTAGCTCCCAACAGAAGATTGTTTTCATGAACTCATCACTGCTGACTAAACAATAGCTGTGTTAATAATATTTTTCTTGCTTGGAAAATATGTTTTTTATTATCTTCATAAGTGCTTCTTGTCTTTTTTTGTGCGCCATTCCAAACTATGGGAAAGTCTTTCACAAGCTCTTGATTTAATTCTTCTTGCAGAGGATCTCATTCCTCATGTAAATAATTTGTGGTTGGAATAAGAGCTTGATTGATGTTTATGTTTTGGAAATTTTAACAATTAGCTGGCAATCTGGTCATTTATGTCATTGAATTCCATTTTTGGAAAGTCATGAGTACCAAAAAATCAGCTCCACGTCTGTATTTTTAATACTAAGCACCCCGGTAGAGGGCTTAAATCAAGGTTATGGTCCCCACACAGCTATTGCAGCGGATGGTACCTTAAATAGCAGACAGGAAAACTCAGCACAAACTACAAGACATGAATGCAAGAAGCCCCTTGTTTTGCCACATTTGGAGTCTGGTTGGGTCTTTTCCTGCAGGTATTCCAGGAAGAGCAAATAAGAGTGTTTTAATTTTTCACCTTTAGCTTTCCTGAGCTTTCAAGCAATGTTTTCTGCTGCCACCTGTCTGTGACTGAACTGGCACTGTGCCCGTAAGTCTAAAAGCCTCCAAGGGATGAGAGAAGTGTACACAATGATATTTGTTGTCTCCAGAATCATATGAGCCAAGTGATACAAGTGATACGGAGAATTTTCCCATTTTCAGCATCAGGTCTGAAGTCCTCTATCAAATTGATTAAACCAATGTAAATAGTTAGCTGTTTTGCGGAATCTTGCACACCCCCCATCATTTTATGCTCAAGAGGGGTGAAATTCTGCCCAATTTCATCCTAGACTTTAGTGACAAACAGAAGAGCTGGGGAAATCCACTCAGCTGCCTGTCAGATGGGAAGATTCAGTCCACCCTGTGGGTGTCTGCAGATTTCACGTGCTAGAAACTGCATCTGTGGAACAGTGAGCAGAGACTGGGATTCCCTACTCCCTGCATAGCTGAAACGGCCCCTGTCATTTCCACCTTTGTTAGCTGTCTGCAATATTAAACATCATCTTTTTAATGCATTTTAAGTTTCTGTAGCCTACTGTATATAAATAGCACTGCATGCATACGTATGGTGGTGTAAAAAAAGATTTGCAAAACCTGATGATTTAACCTTTTCCTTAAAAATACTACTTTTTTGACCAAGTTATTGAATAATAATTTTAAAATACAAAAATTAATATATTTAGTAAAGATTAGTATTCAAAGAATGGCATGTGTGCTTTTGTTATGTTTCAAACTCAGACATCAAACAGGATGCCTAATTTCTAGCAATATCTCTAAAATGATACAAACTCTCTCTCTAATTTCTCTCTAATGTAATAAATCAAGTTATTTTATTTTGGCAATTGAACTCTATCACAAAGGCAATAGTAATTGCGGCAGTGAACTTACCTTTAAGTTGGCAGGGTTTTTTTTGGTGTGGGTTTTTTTTTTTTTAATTTCTCCTCTATTACTTTGAAAAATAGTTAATCAGTTTTTAAATTGCATTTGAAAAGAGCAGCTTTTCATCTGCTGAGAATCTGTTTGCTAAATTTCAGGCCAAAGTGAATTTTCTTTCTGTACTGTCTGATCTTGCGTCTTTGAAGTCCGTGTGGAAGGGATCTTGCTGATTTCAGAGCTCTTAGGCTCAGGCCCAGAGGTTAAACCCTTTAAAAAAAGAGGAGGGGGGGGGAAGAACTGTCAAAATGTGATTGAAATATATGGGTGACTTACGAGCTTCAGCTCCAGTGAGGTTGTTTGGCAGCATATGTATTTAGGGGCTTAACCTAAAGTTCAAGGTTCTGTTTTTCCAACACGTGCGGCTACAGTTGCCAACATGGGCTCAGATATAGGAAAGTGTAGCTCTGAACATGTAGAAACACCCCTTTCTTTTTCTGTGGACAGCTTATTTGATCACTGGAATGACATTCTGGCTTTTATCTCTGTGCATCAGTAGCCATTCTGTTTTCACAGAGCAGAAGTGCCAAGCGCCAGACTGTTGCCCTCTTTCTTCTTCCTTTTCATAAACATAATGACAAAGGATGAAGCACGTCACTCCCTCAGCTGGTCCTGCAAAGCCAGCCTTAAAAGTGTGGAAACTGTCAAATAGAGTTGGCTTGAAACGCTGTAAAATAAAAATAAAGTCAGCTAGTCTCAGCTTGGCTTAAGATGAGACATTCGAGTCCTAAACATTGATCTGGTCTATGTGACATTCGTGAGCTACGGCCACGGCATCCGTTCTATTTTAAGTAAAAAACTTCACATGACTTTTTTTCTGAGCAATAAGTAAAAGGAAAAGGTGTTTCTCTAAGCCTTGTTCTCAACAAGCAAGCATTGCTTATGATGTTCTCTCTTTTTCCCTCCGCACCCCCTCCTCCTGCAGAATCGCATCGGGAATTCCTTCACAGGCCTGCGTCTGGATACGTGCCAGAGGAGATCTGGAAGAAAGCTGGTAAGAACTGTTTAAAAACACCAGCTTAGTCTTCTGGCAGCTGTGTGCAGTTGTTAATGCACTGATGGGAGGAATGGAAAAAAAAAAGGAGGGGGGGAGCTTACTAGTAACAAGAAGAAATTGTGCTTAATAATCTTAAACTGGAACTGATCAGGACATGAAATAATCTTTATAATAGAAGCATCTGCTGCTATAGTTAGGGGGATATCAGTGCTGCCATTAAGGACACCTATTTTCTGGGGCTATAATGGTTTCAGGCTGAAACTTGATATGCTAAAGTTTCAGCCTGTTAACAATTTTAAAAAAAAAGTTTGCGTGGGATTTTTTTTTTTTTTAAGCCCCAAGGTTCTTACCTAGTTAAGGTCAGAATTCTCAATGGAGGGAAGAAAACTAAGTATACCTGTTAAAGAAAAACCTCCAGCTATTCAATGTAACCATTCTTAATTTTAAAAAGATTTTGTGCCCCTCAGACCCCAGTGAAGTCTGTGCTCATAAACTTGCAAATCTTTCAATGAAGTAAGCAAGATCGCATCTCCGCAGCTGCTCTGGGTGGTTGCACAGGCATTGACAGTGTCTTCCCTGAGCTTGAAAAGCACCACGGGTAGATGTCGTGGTTGTACAGAGTTTTCTTCAGCACTTTAAAACTCTGCTTGAGCGCAGGAGTTTCCTGGTGAGGATCCTATTGAGGTGCTGGAGCTAAACCTTTGCTCTTTCAACATCGATATCAGAGTTTCCTTCTTTTCAGAGGGGCCAGGAGGTAGCTCTTGAACTCCAGCGACATAGTTGAACTTCTGTATATACACTCACACACTGCCCCCCTTTTGAACACCTGTATAACCATGAAGTCTACTGCAGCTATCTGAGCAGGAGTTAAAGATTAAACAGCAAATATGCAGCAGTTTCGATGCTTTCTTATCCAATCTCCTGTAACTGCTCGCTGCTTTTTAGTGTATTTTAAACTAGATACAGAACATATGTGTAAAAATGTTCTGCTGGCATACTTTTGCATCAGACAAGAAGTTGTGTTGTTTGCGTGATGTGGGTTTATCATGTAAACTCTACATTTGTCGATATGTAAATTACTATTTTTGGAACTGCTGTGGTTTATATGAAAAACAACAAAATAATCTACAACTTTTTCCTGTGTCCAAGGAAAGTGTAGCCTTTGTAATTCAATGCTCTTGTGAACCCAGAAGTAATTTTATTATTTGTTTTGCCATATTTATGTTAACGTCTTAAATGAAAAATAAGAAAAAAATTTGCAGTCCCAGAAAATCTCAGTAAGAGGAGCATTATTCAGTTGAATTTCAGGAACTTTATTCTTCTTGCAAAATCTAGGTTTTCATATTGTTTGGCACATCAGGTCATTTGTGACCCCTAGATGCAGTACAATAGCAGGACAAAAGTTTCTTCATTAGCTAGAAATAGAAGGTAATTGAAGCTTTTGGCCTGAATTATAAAATTAGTTGTGCATTCACACTGTATGTATCCACAAATGGCAGTGTAAAGGAGCTGTGACGTGTCACCTTGTGAACATATATGTCATCGGTTTCTTTGAAACAAAACTTTTCCTTTGGCCCTATTTCTAGTCTCTTCATGCTGATGAGGGTTTAAATCAGATTCCCTGCATTAACTGAGCACGCCTGTGAACTGGAGAATAAAAAAAATCTGACTCTCTACAGCATGCACACCTGTATCTGTTACTAAGAGTTGTAAAACATCGGAAAGCGTGCTGCTTTTCATAAATCATGGGCCATCATTTTCAGGAGGGTGCACTGAAGTTGGAGGTCTCCTCAATTTTGTAATCAGTTCATGGCAGTAAAGGTGCAATTCAGCTCTGTAGGAAGAGGTCTCGAGTGCTATTTGAGACGCTCCGTAGTTTCCTGGCTGGGCTGCAACTGCCAGTCAAGAAGGCTGCAAATCTCTTTTAAGTCATTTCTGCTGGCCTAGTGTGGATATCTTGCTATCTCAAATGTCCATAAGGACCAATGTGTAGACAGCCGAATCAAGTATAAAAGTCTGATTGGTATGCTGAATCCATTGAACTGAAAGAATTTGGCGTAAAAACAGTTAATAAGCAACCGCAAAATCCTGTGAAAAAGGGATTCACTTTAAACGTTTGGAGATTGATAGACTCCAGTGCAGTTTGTTAAATACAGCGATATATGTGCTTTTGTGATTGTTGGAATGAACACATAGTAAGGAGCACCTTGTGAATTAAAGCCATGTGAAGGCAATTCAGTTTCATACATCAGTGGAAAGTCATCAGTGTCCTGATTCGTCTCATTGAGTTGTGGGTATGTAGACGAATAGTCCCAGCCAAGTTTTTGGTGTCCCTCAGTAGTCAAGAGAGACGCAGGCATGTGAAGAGGATCAGTCATATCATAGGTTGGATGACTTGTTCTCTGGAAATACCTATTTCTCTTTATTAAATACTGCGGGGATCCCAGGCGCACTGCGGGCTGCTGCCTTGGCTTCTTTCTGTGTCATGAAGAAACTGTCTTCCAGCCATTTCTTATCACATAGCAAGACCTACTGTTCATGGCAGTTCTGGATTGGAGTTACCAGTTACTCCAGTTCCTTACTGGAGTTAAGCTCTGGAGTTACCAAACAGGTGTGGGATGACCATACATTGTCATACAAAGACAGTAAGGACCATGCACATTCTCCAGGGGAGTCCTGGGAAAGAGATTGTGCCTTTTGGAGTATGAAGCTGAGATAAGTCATGTCACCAACTCCCAACGCCTTCTTTGCCATGGTCAGTCCGAGTGGCACTCAACCCAGTCATGGTGGCACAGGACTGCACCCCTGCCCACCACCTTTCCTTTTTCATCATGTGGACTGAGTGTGCCCATGATGTGAAGGAGATGACGGGTAAATCATTGTGGTGGGTTATAAACAGCAGTGAATGATGAGTTGAGCACCTCTCCTGAGTCAGCTCCAAGGATATCTGAATAATGTCTGTTCCACACAGGGTCTTTGCTCCCTGGAGCTTCTCTCATGAATTAGTGCTACTCAAAGGGAAGGAAGATTTCAATTGCATCCCTAAACAGACAGAGTGAATTTATGCCAAGAATGCTTAGCATTTGTGGGAAAATTGAGGATACAGATACGTGCATCTTAGGTATTTTGTTGTAAAAACTTCCAGATTTATGTTTTCTGATATTGGAATCTAATCATTGCTTTCTCTGGAAAAGCACAGAAAAGAAGAGCACTGATATCATTCTTGGTCTTCGTAGCTCAGCATTGTCAAGGCAAATAAAATCTCCATCACTGTCACCCATAACTTTTCCTGCATAGATATTACAGTTTTTGTTATCTGAAACTCTGAAACCTGCATTCTATGTCTATAAAATATCTGTAGGTACTGGAAACATTTATTTTAAGGTGTGCAGAAAATCAATGATAGGAAATTTTGTCTAGTTTGTTTGGTTGTTCATGAGTTCATACAGTATTGAAATAACAATGGTACATAGTGACAAAAAACCCCGACATATTTTAACTATTTGTTTTCACGCTTAGGATAGCACAACACAAATTCTTTTGCCAAAGTTAATCGAAATGCTAAAGTCCAACCCATAGTTTATACCAATTGAAAAGTATCAGTCAGGCATATGGCCTTGTAAGCACTTTTAGCATCTTCACACTCTCAGAAGCTTTGCAGAACACAGTATGCAATATAGAAGTTACAAGATAAGGTTCAGTTTCTATATTTGGACTAAAAAGAAGTAGATTGTGTAGCATGAAAAACTATAAAATTAGAAGTCTCTGTAAAATGTTGGAGTATTTTGCTTCTGTGTAATACAATAGTTAAACTGTCACTTCTAACCACTGCAACACCTCAATGTAAAACTAAATTTATATGATGTAATGAAAGTGCATCATGCCATACAAAGGTAATTTCTATTCATAGCAAATATCAGCAAGAATACAGATTTTCTCAAAGAAATCCACTTTGTTAATAACTGCAGTTCACAGACACAAAACGTCTGTATTTAAGTTCCCTCATTTTTATGAAAATGGTAATAAAATTGCATCTGTATGTTTGCCTGTGTATATTTCTTTTCTCACCATCAGTGAATGTTTGCAGTTGGTAATAAATATTCAAGCACCTTGCAAATGTCCTACCAATTCCCTTTGCTGATCTGTGTGTGCCTGTGGGACTAGAATAGGAATGCATAATTTAAATATAAATTGCCTGATTTGCATATACAATTAGTCTAGCTGCAGCTTTGATCGTAAGCAAAAATTATTGTCCTGTATTGCCACTTAGATAGAATTTTAATTCACCTTGAATATTCAAAGTAAATTAAGCCTTGGCTGTGTGGTTGAAGGGTATGATTTTTTCCTCTCCCGAGGCTTTCCCCTAAACAACATTTATGGTAGGGTAATATAAGGGCATATTTTCAGTCTCATAAAAATAAAGGCATAAGTTTTATCTCTAAATTCCCCTCCCTCAAAAACTTGATTTCAAACATCGCTCACAGACATGCACACACATAACAGACACACACAGAGAGTAATAGAACCCTTCTTTCATTTTAATTAATTCCGTTTTACTCAGGACATGGCTCAAAGTTAAGTCTTTATTGTAAATTGCTTAATAACTGAAAATGGAGACTTCATGTAGTCATTATTTTTTTAAAAATAAAAGTGCAGAGCTATGAGACACAAAACCTCAAGAGCGTTATTGACTTAGTAAGAGTTCAGTCTATGTGCACGCGCACGCACACAAATACACGGGCGAAATACATGGACTAAAACTCAAACCCATAACACGGTTGTAATACTTAGATTTTAATCTACAGTAAAACATTTTTATTAGAAATCTATGTTTTTAATTAAACAGAACATTTAATTAAGGTGGTTTTTAAGTGGATGAAACAATTAAGTGCAAACACTTGAATGAAACATGTCATAATTAGTTTTAATAGAGTGTTAATTGGTACTAGGTTTGCCAAGTTAATAATTACTGCTTATTAAATTTTCAATTAATCATTGTCATTTTGCTTTGAATAAAGATGAAAATTAGATAAACTAATTCAGGGGGAGGATGGTTTCCTTGTTAATTAGAGCAGTTAATTAAAAAAAAAAAAAAGAAATTACTTGTTTTAGTTGTCAATTAAAAGACTGTTCATTAGTAAAATCTTTTCACTCTTCCTACATCAAACCCCAAATAACTAATTTGTGACAATCCGTGTTTTCCGGAATAAAAGATAGGATGCTAGTATTTGCCGAAGAAACGGCTCACACTGACTTAGTTGTTTTACAAGAAGCACGAAGGTTTGAATTTAATGAAGCGGCGTGCCCCTGCTCAGTGTTAATTGCGCACCCAAGCCTTCGCTGGCTGTGGTGTGCTCCAGAGCTCAGCGGAGGCAGGAGGTCAGGTCTTCACAGTGTAAACATGGGTTTGAAGGAGAGATCAAGAGGTCAAATGAATGTTCATAAACAAATTTTAATTTTGGCTCGTAAAATTGTATGTCCAGGAAAAGACGTTAGACCAGCGATTTAACAATTTTAAATAAACTCTTGGGGTTTTTTTAACATCGTGTATTTGTTTGTTAACATATGGGGAAAAAATTGTTAATGACTATAAATCCTGTCTTAATTTCCAGAGCTTAAAGATACATTTTTGAAAAAGTCTGTAATACTGTGTTTTAAATAATATTTTTTCCCAAGGATATTCGTCAATCTGGTGTGCTGCAAACCCAGTTTTCCAAGTGAAACGTTGAAAAAGGTTTCAAAAATAACACACCAGAGATCTGAAATGTCTGTACTTAAAGAAGTACTGACCATGAACCAAAATAGCAAGAACTATCACAAGCGTTAGAGGCTTGTGAGAGCTTTTGGTGATGGGGAAGTAAAGGAGTACCTGGGTGGTCTTGAAGAGTCTTGAAGAATCAGGTTCCTCTGTGTCCTTCTGCTCAAAATGAAGCCTCTCAATATAATAGAGTCTCTGCTGCTTTTCACTCATCAGTCCTACGTAGCTCGGTGCCAAACGTCCTGTGCTGATGAGGATTTCTTCCCTCCTTTGTAGAGGAAGCTGTCAATGAAGTAAAGCGTCAGGCGATGGCCGAGTTGCAGAAGGCAGTGTCGGAGGCAGAGCGGAAAGCTCACGACATGATCACTTCAGAGAGAGCGAAGATGGAGCGCACTGTTGCCGAAGCCAAGCGCCAGGCTGCAGAGGATGCACTAGCTGTTATCAATCAGCAGGAGGATTCGAGCGAGGTAAGGTCTTTGCTGGGCAGGCATCACCTGTGGCAGCACACCATAGGTGCATCTGGGCTAGCTTGAACCTAACTGGCACAGGCCATTCATGCGACATCGGAGCTCAGCGCCCGCTATTAACGGCACGGTAGCTTTGGACACGTATTTCAGGCGCAAGCTGAGCTCCAAATTTTCTTGCCTGTGTTGTAATCCGAGCCCAAAATAGCGGTGAACTTGAGCTGCAGTCTCACCTTTTAACTGCTGTTCAGGGTTACGTATAGTGCACACATTTCGGTTCTAATGAAGCTTTTCAGTAGCTTTATTTTACAGCTCTTCAAACTACCATATTGAATAGATAACAAGATTGCTCTGTGGAAAATATTGCACAGTGCAATCTAATTTAAACAAAGAAATGATTCATTTAAGAGCTTGTAGAGCGAGGTGGCTTAAAAGCTTGTCTGGAGAAAGTGTCGGATGTAGAAGCGATTAGCAAAAGATGATGGTTCCTGTAGGACAGAACGTGAGTGTAGATTTTGTGCAAGCGTTTCCTTATTTCGAATGTGTTGCTTTGGCTGCAGGGAATGTCTGAGAGCTGAGGAGTGGGCAAACAGCATTTGGAAGGGAGAAAAATAGACTGGAAGAGCAACAAACAGTAAACCAAGAATAAGGATGTTAAGCCTTGATTTACTTTCAGACCTGAGAGTGGAAGCCTTGAATTGCTGTGGTACGGGACATCCAGCAGCATAACCAGCTGGGAGCAAAAGAGCAGCGAGTGTTTGACCAGCGCTGCAGCAGTCTAGCTAGCAATTAAATTTTACGTCCGTTACAGAAAAGCAGTATCCTAAGTTAAAACTGCCCTTAAACACAGACATGACAAAGAAATGATGTCATGTCAGGTGTTTGTGTATAATCTTCATCTCTAAAGGCCACTGAAATGACAGAATATTACTGTCATGAAGTATTTATTGTTCTTGTAGTAGGATCTCGGCTGCAATGTAACTACTTTTTAATAGAAATTCTAAATTACAGGGGGTTGAAAAAAAAGAGTAGATAGCGGTACCTGTTGTGTGGGGACGTTTATTTGTGTACACTAGTGTCAAAGCGCTTTTCATGGGCTGGATGGGCAGCATTGTAAAAGAGTCACTAGAGTAGAAAGATGCAGATGAGCTCGCTGCCGCACGCTGAGAAAACTGGCAAAAATCACGAGCAGATAAGTCAGTGGCATGCTGCAGTATCCATCCATAATTTGAGGGAGCGTAAGATTTTAATTCATACCAGGCTTCTCTGGAGATGAAAGACCATTGTGGGATCACTGAATGCCCAGAGTTTCTCCTTAATGTGTAGCAGATGAATAACAAGGAGACAAAAGGAATTGATTTTCGGCATCTGAAAGTTTCTCAGGAAGAAAGGGACTAGGGGAAGTGTATGTACCCTTTAAGTACTAACTGTTCCATTGTAGATTAAATGAGACATAAATTCAATTTATTGGCATTTTGTATCTGAGATACTCAAGGACATTTTTCCTGCACTATGTTCATAGAAAGGGCATCTGTCTGACTTAGCACCATTAAAGAGCTGTCATTTTGTGTGTGTATATGTACAGGAGACTCCTATTGCTAAAACCAAAATTCCAAAGGTGAATGCCTTTGGAGGAAACTGCAAATTAAATCTGTTCAGTGAAGTGGTATAGTGTAGGCAGGACAGAGCAAGTACTTATGTGCCAATACATACAGCCTATTCTTCCACAAGCAAATGCGCATCCAAAGGAATGCGTAGAGAGTTTGTGTGCTGTAATTAACTCCTGAGCAGTCATAGTTCTGGAAGAAGCTGCATAACAACAGACATCTTTACTACTTCTCCAGCAGAATTGCTCATGAGGTTGTTCACTTCTTGGAAACAGGACTTTAAAAAAAAAAGACAAATAATTATTTTGACTGCATTCTAATGAAATGTGGCTCATAGGGTTACAGATGCTCTCAGGGCTGCATATCCTCAGGGAGGATACAAGCCTCTTGGACCTAGAAATAGAGTCTAATGTCCTGGTCCTGCAGTTTTTCACACCTGTGGTCATGAGTGGCACATCAGTGTGGCTGTTTTGAGGTGAAAAATGCAGGTTTTAGTTAAACTGCGGAGAGAACTCCAGTTTGCTCAGTTTGTGTTTACAGGTGCTTCGTTAATTCTGAGGGGAGATGACAGTGATACTTATTTGAGAGTTATATGTGTCTGTTAAGTTTTTATAATTAGTTCCTCTTCAGCTACTAATTATGCCAAACTCCAAACACTTAGGGCAGTGCTTCTCATGATTACCTGTTAACTCAGGATGTTTTGGGGTTTTTTTTTTTGATAACTCCTGTAAGAACGGACTGGACTTTTCCTTCATCTTTGGGGACAAGAGATCAGTTTGCCAGTGTTTAAAAAGTGTTTCTTTGGAGATGAGACCTTGTGCTTATCGGGGTTGAGGAATAAAACTTCGCATTTGCTTTGCTGTTCGTTATTTCTCGATCTCTCTGTGAAGTTCCCTCCTCATTTGTCTAGGTTGTAAGTCTCCATAAACTTCTCTCTGTTTACATCTTTCAGCAGTATGCTTCCAGCAACAGATTCCTGTGTACTAAAGGCACTGGAGTAATATTTCCAAGGCTAGAATATTTCCAGTTCCAAATATGAGGCTGCTGAACTAGCGGCTTCTGCAGTCTTACAGGTTTAGAGGAAGGCTGAGAAACACTCCTCATTTCTTATCCTTGGCAGGACATTACGCCAAGGCCTGCAAGAGAGCTCAGTATAGGCTGCTCAGTATAATCTCCATGCAGTTCCTAACAGAGAACATTTCTCCCACGGGTGTCATTTGTTCTTTTGGCTGTGGAAACTATGAATGAAGATGGGAATTTGGCACCAGGTTTCTAATGTAGCAGATATAATTTTCACATGACGCAGCCACTCCCTGTCTATTGGCAAGGTTTCTCCCTTGGAGGAGGTTTCCCTCCTTTCTGTTCATTTGTTATTCAGTAAAATGCAACCTGGACCTAGCTGAGGCTTCTTAAAGCTGCTCTGGTGTGAGAACTTGGTGGCATGATTTCTATTGCAGTCTTCTCCAGAGCTAAAAGTAATAACTAGTGCTAAGATTCAAGATTTTTATAATTATTATAATTTTAAGATAATGTGTAGTCTCCTCATCCAAGACCGTTCAGAGGTCTCACAAAGAGAAGTAGATTGTTTTGTTTATATTTGTTGTTGGGGTGGGGTGTGTGTGTTCCTGTTTTTGTCTGGGGCCTTTTGTCTTTTGTTTTGCTTTGTTTTGAACCCAGAAAAAGTGGCATTCCCCGACTGCAAGATTGTTAGCAAGCAAACAGTGAAGCTGGACATGTTGAACTGACTGGTGCAAAATAAAGGAGGCTTAGGACAGTGAGAGGAGTAATAGGAGAGATGTGGTATTTGGAAGTATCTTGAGTTTTAAGAAGTGGCCAGCAATATTTTGAGAGTCTCCACATTACATAGTGTAGTTGTAATTTCTGACCCTGACCTGGTCCGTTATTGAACTATTGTTCTTTGCTTATGTTTGAATTATTCAGTATGATTTAATGTGCAGTGTCACTGCTTCAATGTCTGTACATTTACTTTCTAAAGATTTCCATAGTTTCTCGGCATAAGCCCTTGCGACTGACCAGAACATGTTAATTATTTTCTGTTATTATAATGAGAAATTGGTTGAAGACCAACAAACGGAGCACGCTACTGTTGGAAAGCAGAAGGACAGGAGAAGGCGTACCTGTCAGCATGGCTGGACCTGAACCACAAATTATTTCTTTACCAGTTCCTTACAGTTGCTTCGCAAAAGATGACCCATTCATCAGTGGTTGACTTGGCCAAGTACAGAAACATGTGTGAGCAGCCTACTCGTTAATGACTGCCGTTCCTGCTTTGGCTGCAATGTACTGTTGTGCAAATCAATTTTGATAGTAAGGGTGAACAACTTAGCAAAGAGACTGGCTGCCCAGATTGTAGGGGGGGTGGATGAAAATCATCAAAACATCTGTCTTTCTGCTCTTGTATAAAATGCCACTGAAAAATCTGACACTCAGTGTTCTTCCTCACTTTTGAGTAGGGTGGGGGCTGGGGACGGGGAAGGAACACAAATGTTTCGGTTCTCTCTACTTAAAGCAGATGCTGACATCTGCTCAGATAAAACAAGTATGTAACTGGTCCAACACTGCTTTTAAGAGATGTGTAATGTTAGGGCTTGTTTATATTGCAGCAGTTTATGTTGTATGTGAATATCACACTTACCTGACATTTTGAAGACAGCTGGGTTCAATCTCTGCTGACCAATCCATTGAGACCAGGACTGTGCCAACAAACCTGACTCCAAGCATCAGATGCTGTGATTCAGGCAAGCCTAGTTTTTAGGCTGGTATTAAATTTAATACATATGTCAGCTAAATGTTTAATTTTTTTGGCTGGGCATCTCTTAGAAAGTAGCACATCATCCCCCGCAGTGGTGGGTGGTACAGAGGCGCCAGAGCCATGTGTTCTGCACAGGATCAGTCCAGATGTGATGTGAACATTGGCACTGCCCCAGACTCCTAAGCTAAGGCTGGCTAGCCAGCTTGCACGTCTCTTCCGTATGCTTCTCCGCGCTTCTGTTTTCGGGATTTAGCTTCTCTCATGCTGACTTGTATGAACATAGATGTACTTCACACAATAAACAGTGGCTTGGGCAAGCCTGGATTGTTCAGTGGTAGGTGTAACTTTACTAGAAGCATCTAAAGGTTTGAATATCTTTGTATGGAGCACTGCATTTTGACGCAGCGTGGGAATTTCCAAAGCACCGATGTGTTTCCCTTTCTAATGGATCTTTGATAGAATTTTCGTAAACAACTTTGATGTTTTTTTGCACTGATGTTCAGTGGCTCACACAGTCCTTGTTTACGCCACTGTGGTTTCAGTGATTTCTAGATGTTCTTTTTCTTGCGGTTAGCAGTGATAGAGTTTTGAATGCCATGGGAATTGCAGAACCAGGAGAAGTCTGGGTTCTTTTTACGCAGCCATGCTTCCTTTCCCGGTAAACTGGGGAAATCCAGAACTGGTCAAAAATGACAGAGCAGTGTTTGACACTGTATTACGGCATTTCAGACTTCATCATCTCTTTGACATGTCACAGTCCATTTGGGTTTTTTTTTTCTTCTTTAAGCCAGCTCTACACTAAGTCTCAGCTGGAGGTGTCAGAGGAAAGCAAATACTCGATTGTGGTTAAATGTTTCAAAGATGAAAGCGACAGCATGAGCAAAATTATTGACAAGTATGTGTCCTGGTACTGGAGACCACAGAAATGGAGACCATTTGTTTTTAAGAATTTTCATGATGGCAAACAGAAGTTTCCGAGTCCTGTTGTTTGAAGATGGAAGCTTAAGTGCATAAGAATTAAGAGTCTGACCCAAGATAAGGCGCTGACCTAAGACTGATGTTCCTTGTCAATTGAAAGAGGAGGATGAAATATGATCGGTGGCATAGATTCGGAGCAAGATTCCCATCTGGTGTAATTTAGCCCAATTTCATTGAATTAATCCATTTTCAAGGTAGTGAAGTTAAATTGAATTATGTAGTCTGAGAATCTGGCCTTTTGCATAACCTCACTGTTTCACAGGAAAATCAATGCAGAGTTAAACTGTAATCCAGCCCTGCTCATAGTTTTAGCTGCATCTGGAACTCTATAAAGCATGAGCTGGAAGTGCAGCGTAGTAGGTCACTACCTAAAGACAGAGAAGATAGACCAGGAGAGGCTTTGAGAAATCTGTTACTCCCTTTCCAAATGAATGATCAACTCTAACTGTACCATTCCTGTAAGGTACCTGCTTTACCTGTCCCTTAGTGATGGAGAGTCTCCAGTGCCTCTAGGAAATTTGTGCCTTAGAGAGATTTCTCATAACATCTCTTTCCAGTTTTTCTTATAGAATCTGCAGATGTTTGATCCCATTACTTCTCCTGTTCATCCGTGTAGACATGGTCATTGCCTGTTTCACTGCAGTAGCTTTCAAGGTGTTTGGCTGCTACTGTCCCCTATCAGGCTACCGTCTCGCCTTAGGTTTAACAGTCTTTTCTAGTAGCTTGTGTTTGTCTGACCTTGGACTATTCTGGCTGCCTTTCTCTGTGTTCTTTCCAAGTCGTATTTGTCTTATTTCATTTGCTATATTTGAAGTGCATCATCCCAACCTGGACAGTACTCCAGGCTGACCCTCACCAGTGCTAGGAGGTGGAGAGTCTCAATTCAGGTGTAAAACAGTCCATAGTCCTGCTCCTATGCCCTCACATGATGATTGCCACCTTGTCACCAACATGACATTTTGGTCCCCTGTTATCCGAGATGCTGTCTACACAGTTCAGCCAGGGTGCTCTGTTTCGCTGGGACCTTCTAAGAGCTTCCCAGGAGGGAAGATACCTTGACCAGATCCCTTGACCATGCGCAAGCTCTGTCTGTCATATCTGGATCAAACCTTGACCATGCTCAATCCGATAGTGAGCTCAAGCTCTGTCTGTCATATCTGGATCAAATGGAAATAGGTGAGCACACCTGAGCATACACAAAGAACAGCCCCGGTCATTAGCCGGCATCTCGAGCCTGGCTTTTCTTCAGTAGAATTTGGGCTCTGGAGCTATCAGCCAGCAATGTGAACAGAAATCATCTGTTGCCAAAGCTTGTGGTGCCGGGGCCTGATCTTTGCTGCTGTTTTTCACGACTCGCACATGGGAAGGAGCAACGAATGGCCGCAGTGCTGAGGACTGTGAAGGACAGGGAGTTCTGCATGTCAAAGCCAGCTGCTATCACAGTGCAAGCTCCCCGTGGCATGTGTGCTTCTTGATGCTAATATGCACTGTAGTAATTTTTAAATGCAATAAGTTGTTGCGTAAATGTGTGAGCCATAAAATTTATTTTGAAATTCTTGTATTTTATGTGCTTTTATTCCCACAATTACACTAAAGCTGTAATGACCTGTTAAATTAGGAATAATATGTCCAATGAACAAAATCACATACCAGACAATGTAGGACACATTAAATAATCATGTAAGGAGCCAGTTTAGAGCTTTGTCACTTGATTAAAATGTTGCACTTATGTATCACTTTTCATGTTCTGTACAGGCTGATGGTAATTGATGACTATTTTAATAAGGAAGTTATTGAACCAGTACCGTTAAAATGCAATGACTGTTTTCTGACATCTATATAGATCTTGTGGTAAGATAGTGAAATATTGTCTGGTGGCTCTGGTCACATCGAGACAGTTCTGTCTGAGCAGATAGGCCTTCCCCAAAAGGGGAAGCAAAACGAAGATTCCCCAGAAGTTGGCCTATATTAACTAAATAGATAATTGAATAGAAAAAATTTGACATCCTGTAATAAATCCAGCACAATTAAAGCGTGCACTTCAATGTTGCAATCGGATCTGCACAAGGAAAGGATTCCTGCACCTGGGCAGGTGCTGCTTGACTTCAGCATTATTCCATGTGGGGAAAAGTGTCTTTTCAGAAAAGTCTGTGTGGGGAGGTTTTGTACATGTCTATTTCTTTTCAGATAAGGGGATAAAGGGAAGCATGGGCCAAACCCAGGGCTGGCAATTTAGTTGGAAATGAATAGCTAGGAGGTAATCCAGCAGAGCAGTAGGTGGAAGTTCTGTGCAAGCATGGTTGGAGCAGAATTACACCATGTTTACTGATCACAGTGCAAGCATCAAGCTGGCAAAATGAAACTTTCACAAGTATGATGCAACTTGAGAAATATTAGTATAGCAAAAGAAGGAGAATCCAGGCATACCACAGTTTGTTCTCTTTCTGGTCAGTAGGATGAAGCATTGTATTGTATCTCTTTGAAATGCTAATACAAACTTCCCAGGTCATTTTGGGTGTACGCGTAAATATGTCTGTGGGTGCAAGAGTTCATGTACAGTGTTCTAAATTACTTATAGTTATTTTTCATTGTGGGGATAAAAGGTCTTTTAAAGAAAAGGTGTTCAATAGTAGAGCTATTCATTTCCAAAGGTAGTTTTACCTCTCCAGCACTGGACAGAGTTTGAGCAAAGCAAACCCAAAACA